CTCGCCCGAGACAAGTCTCGTCCTGCACGCACTTGGTCGTCGGTCAATTCATAGAGTGAAGCGGCTACCACAGCGTAATCCTCGATGAATTTGTGGTAGTAATTCAGGCTGCCTAGAAATGACTGAACTCCTTTCAGGGTGGGTGGCCGGGAATGGTAGCTCCTGAATGCCTTTTACGATTTTCGGGGTAGCACGTATCCCTTCCGCACCAATCTCGCGAGAGAGGTACGGTATGCCACGCTTCCCGAATTCACTCTTGAGCAAGCTAACGGAGATACTCCAGTATTGTAGCTGATAGAGCAACGCATCTAGATCACCGCATAGTTGATCCCACGTGGCCGCCCCATGCGCGATCTCATCAATATACGAACTGCGCCCCAAGACTGGCTCCATTTGGGATGGTGCGGGAATGTTACGCCTGAAAACGGTCATTTGCTCCAAAAGTGGTGTCATACTGCGTCCTGCATCTATTTCCTCACTCGACGACTGAGGATCCATCTTCAAGTAGTCTAACACATCCTGATCCACGAGTGCTTCTTCTTCGGGTGATAGCCGCACAAAACCCCTCAGGCAAGTAATCATCTGTTGGTAGATTAGTGGGGCGTTTTTCAACCCGAATGGCATACGTACCCATTGGAAATGCCCGAATGGACAGGTAAATGCCGAGATCAGCTTGGCCCTCTCAGTCATTCGGACTGCCCAGAAACCACTCGCCATGTCAAGACTCAAAAACCACATCATTCCTTCGAAACCAGTAATGAGATCGTCGATCAGTGGTAGTGGGTAGTTCGACAATTGAATGAAGCTGTTCACGACTCGATAGTCGATGCACATTCGAATGGCCACTCCATTCTTCTTGAGAACGATCCCAATTGGGGATGCCCATGGCGATTCCGAGTGTTCAATCAGTGTAGCTTCCAGGAACTTCTTCAGCAACTTATACACCTTAATTGCCAAGTGCGGACCGACCGATCGGGGTCGTTGGGCAACTGGCCTGGCATCTCCCACATCTAAATCACAGATGACGCCCCTCGCCGGAGGCGGGGCAGCATTCCCGTCACCTAAGCAGATCTTCTGGTGTCTTTTCAGGATGGCCTTCAGCTGCTTTGCTTGAGCCTCCGTGCTCTCGCCACGTTCTCCAACGTCAGCAGCCTTGATATCACATTCAGGAGAGAAGTCGTCTAAGTCGGGTAGCATAACCAGCTGATCCTTCAACTGAGACATAAGCTCACTCCCTTCGCGAATATATACCGCCGGTTCTAAATCGAGTTGCTCGGCGCTCACTCGCATGCACCTAGCGTACGCTGCATCAAGTCTTGCGAGCGGTGTTTCGGGTACGGTAGAAGTAGGTAACTCGAAATCCTCGCCTTCTGTACTCGGGTCATCCTGGAATGCATCACATTCAGATCTCTGAGCCATCTCGTCTGGGACATCTCCGCAGGATCCCGAATTGGCAACCTCTCCGTCATCCTGGGTGTTGACATCCAGGGTGACAAGTTCAGGCGAAACTTCGACAACCATGAGTGAAACAATCACGCTCGGGGAGTATGCCCCAAGTGTAACATCCTCAGCGGATTCCACTTTTTTGGTAACTCTTTCTTCCACGATCTTCGTGACCTGGGCTCGGTCAGGTTCTCTTGCCCTCACTAGTAACTTCGTTGGCCATTTGTACTTGGGAACCATAACCGCAGGCGGAGCCGCATCCCGAAGCATCTTCATGACGCTACCTGACGCACCCTCGCCTTCGCGGAGAATGTGTTCTCCTGAATAGTCTGCTACCATTCCATATACCTTCGTAGTCCAGGGCGCACGAACTGTCCAACTATGGGGATGTTCCCATACTCCGCAATCCGAGCAACGGGTGTCCTAGGCTCGATCCAACAATATCAGTCCGAAACGTTGACCACTTTTATCGCTACGGCCCACGATCGTGCGCCGTAAACAATGTGGGTGACCCACGGATCACCTCGCCCTGACCATACGACATCTTGGAGCGGGCGGCATTGTCCATATCGGATGGCCACATTTGCATGTTCTCCAGGTCGCAGATGCAATCCTCGAAGGGGGCAAACTGGGATATTCCGCTATTCACGTCTTCGTGTAGTATACCCGTACATTAAAATGGATTCTTCATCCGGGAGACATACCATTCCTTCACTAATGCCTAGGCGTACTCCAGCACTGAACGTGAAATCCATTCCTAAGAGTACATCCACTCCTTCTCCGATGTTCGTTACCCAGACATCCATGACATACACAACTCGCCATCCCAAAGTGATCTTGATCTGTGCACTCGAAGTGATATAACTCGAAGTGATATAACTCGGGACGCTACCTAGCCCTGACACCTTGATCCGCTTCTGTGAGTTTAACTTGATCTTGAGCCTACGCGCAAGGTCCAAACTGATCATACTCACAGTCGCTCCGATGTCAAGCAATATCTACGTCCTGAAATTGTTCACTGCTCCATGAACCGTAGCACACTGACGTCTTTCCTCGTCACGATCATTCTCGGCCCACCAGCCATACCATTCCCCGGGGTTCAACTTGAATTCAGGTTTACCTTCGGGTTCTGGAGGCAATGGCGGTCCTGAAACACTCTGTCGAATATCCAAAGGAACAGGTTCGTCATGAGTCATGGAGGTCATACATTGTGGGTTATCTTGGTTCCTGGTCCTCAATTCGGGGCCGACATACGCTAACACACACAATTCTGAGGGTTCTCTCAGCCCGACGCGTACCGAATCCCCATTAGGCGGGCTTAGTGGTTTAACTGCACTTCCTCAGAATCGTCCATTCCATTCAGGATCTCTTCCCGAACATGGCTAGGCAAATCAGCTAGGCCTCCCTGAAGAACGAGTTTCTTGATCTCTTGGAAGGCTTTCCACTCTTCGCAATGTCCATCGTGATATTCTTCACAGAGTTGGTCATACAACTTCGTGTTGGGTGTCCACGCCTGTGGTATTGTCCACATACCATGTCAGTCCAGCATTTCTCCGGGCGATGTCCAAACTTCTTGCATTTCTCACAAAACTCCAATCGGTCCGGGTTGTTGTAGGACTGGTATCCATGAAACGCAGCTGGCTGCACAGGCGGCGGCACCGGTGGTCTTGGATTAGCACTCGAGTCACTCCTGGTATTCGGGTTCGCCGGTTTCCATCCCACGTTGCTCATGATGCGATAAACCTCGTGAATTAGCTCTTCCCTACTGAGGAACGCTCCATTCGGGTTATCCAAAATCTGGGCATCCTGAATTGCGGTAGACAGTTCTTGGAAAACAGCGTCATTTTCACCCACAACTTGTTCAACCTGGGCTGGCTGCTCGACGTCCACACCTTCATCATCCTGAGCCACATAAGCTCGGTTTGAGTTCCGCTGTCGCATTCCACCTCGGGCAAACGTTGACCGCTCTGAAGTCACGATTGGGAGGCGACCGGGTAGAATAGCTTCCACTCGCATTCACCTCTTCCTGTTGCTTCAGAACGTACTCCAGGTCAGACACCTTGTAGAAACTCTGGCTTTGCAATGTCGACCTGAGCGACATGTCCGTCAGGTTCTTGATGAACCGCTTGATGTGTTGTTCACGTCGACGTTCAGACTTCCTGAATTTCACATCCGCTCGTTCAGCAGCCAGGTTCAGGCGGTACAGGAACGCTAGAGCTGTTTCATCCTTGTACTGCTTCATCGTGTACTACTTCTCCGAATCAGATACCTGGGACTTGCAGTACTCACGCTTGAACTCCCGAGCCAGTCGTCCCCAATTCGTACGCACATGTTTCCCTAACTGGTCAATCCAGTTTCGGGTGGCAGGCGACATCTTCGTCTTGAATTCGTATATCTTCATCTGCTCCGTCCAACCAGCCTGGATGGTCATGTTCAGGAACTTCTCCCACCATCGGCGACGTGCTGTCAGGGACTGTTTCTCGTCGAAATCGTCCAGGGTGTTGGTAAACGTCCTGAGGGTGAGCATGTTCCCACCCTTGGCGTTGGTCACCATGGTAGGGTGGCGTGTCGTCTGACGAACTGTCGGAGTCACTTGAGCTATCGTCTTCTTCGTTAGATTCGCCACTCGAGCTGGGTCCCGAGGGTTTTCATCCTGGCGTGAAGGCTTCTTGCGTAGCTCCTTCTTAGGCGGCTCCTTGTCTTCTGACCTTGCAGCTCCCGTCGATTTTGCTTCCGTCTGTCGTGACTTCACTCGGGAGCCGTTCGTCTTTGCAATCCTGGACCTTTGTTCCCCTTTTTGGTTGATCATCTCCCTTCTCATACTTTGTTTCAGTTAGACTCGGGAGAGTCAGTTGGAGCTGAGCCGCAAAGGCACTGTCGCCAGATGTGTCCTTTGTACCGCGTCATCCTTGATTGCGTTACTCGATCGTGGGTGCACTGTCGAACGGTCACCTTGAACTTGCCTCGATGTTGCACGAGTGTTGCTCGAACTTGTTCCGCGAACGTTCTTCGACCTTCAATTAGCCTTCTGATCCTGATTGCGCGCCTCCTTCAAGGAGGTGATCTCCTCTTGCAGACGTTGCATCTGGCACTCATCACAGATTCCCACTGGTCATTCAGGCTCTTCTGCAGGTTGACTGCCCAGGACTCTTTCGCCTTTTCGGCCTCCGCTTCGCGTCGCTGCCAGCGCTCTTCGAACTGGGTTTCCGCGGCCTTCAGCGCGCGGATGCCTTCATGGCTTTTGGCGCTCGGCACAGCCTCAGCGGGTCCGGTCGACACCTGAGCTGGGTCAGTCGACGCTTTGACATTCGGAACAGTCACACTCTTGACGACCCCAGGTCGGGCTGCCAGCATCTGGATCGCCTGGAAAGCTTGGCCGACACGCTGATTGAGCTCGGCTTGAGTGGTGTATTGCTTCGACTCCATCTGGGCCAACATGTCTTGTGTCGATCTCATGGCATTCAGGGCAACCTGAGACGCCCCTGACGTCGCTGAATAGCGCGACCCTCCTGAGCGGCTCGTCATTTCTGACTTCGTCGACCGACTTGGCGACCGTCTGGATGAACGCCTTGAACGTCTCGAATGCCGGCGTCTCCGAGCGTCGTCGCTGGACACTCGGGGAGTCATCGCTTGGGCTTGACCTTCGTCTGTGGGCGTACTTCCGAGATGTCCTCGACATGTTGTCACTCCGAACGATGGCCCGCCCCGACTCCGACATAACGACATCGTCAGGGTTGGCTGGTATCGGCCACACCGGGAGGACAGCCTCAGTTACCTGCACACCCAGGCTACCTTCTGGTTGGGCGACACCTCCCTGAGCTGCGAACACCATTCCGGCTGGGAAGACATGCGCGAACTGCATGTTCTGTGTAGCGCCTCCCGTCATAGACCACATTGAGGACGCCGAGGATGAACCATTCCCAGATAACCGGGATTCGAGCGTCCCAGAGATGTTCGACTCATCTGAACCTGTGGCCGTAGCTCCGAACAGCGTTGACCCTGTTGCACGGTGGGGAACGCAGGTAGACGTAGGGCAGAATGAGGTCAGAGACTTGAGAGGCAAATCGAGAAGTGAATTGTGTGTTAGAGTAAAATGCAAGGGAGCTTGAGCTCGCAGTAGTCGCTAGGTGTTTCGCAACTCCTGTCCTCCTACGCTGGTAGTTATGAAACCTCTGTCATGCGTTCTCGTGCGTTGGTCCGTTTTCCAACACTCCTCCTCGGTCCATGAGAAGAGAACGGGGCAGAAGGTGTAGAGCTAGCATCATACGTTGGTGGAGCTCAGATCCGAGGGGCTTGGTAAGAATGTCTGCTTTCATGCTTGTCGTAGGGCAGTATTCGGCTCGGACATTACCCTTCTTTATGACATCTCGAATGAAATGGTATTGAATGTTGATGTGGCGCATCCTCGCCGTTGTGAGGGCATTCTCCATCGTCTTGATAGCGCTCTGGTTATCGACTCGAAGGGTTACCGGACTGACAGGGCTCTGAAGTGCCAATTCGTTAAGTAATTGTTGAACCCAGAGACAGTCACGGATCGCTGTGCCTCCTGCGATATACTCTGCTTCTGCCGTTGACAACGCCACTGTGCTCTGTTTCTTAGAGTACCAAGCGACTGGCATGTCGTTGAGGAGTAGCACACCTCCAGATGTTGACTTCGCATCCTTGTGATCGCCAGCCCAGTCTGCGTCGGTGTACATGATCGGGGTGCACGAATTTGGGGCTCGCTTGTTGTACTTGTATGATAACCCAACATCAGTGGTGCCCTTCAGGTACCGAAGCAAATGCTTGACTGCTTGCCAATGCCGCGTGGTTGGGTGGGATACGTGACGCGCTAAGAAATTTACTGCCATTGTAATGTCTGGTCGCGTGCAATTGCTAATCCATAGTAGTGAACCGATGGTTTCTCGCATCAACTGGATGTCTGTAAAAGGTTCATCAGCGGTGTCGTTCTCGTCTAGTCGACCCGCCATGGGTGTTTTAGTTGGCCGGCATTCCGCCATTGCAGTACGTTCAAGAAGCTCCAAGATGTTAGCCTGCTGGTGAATGAATATCCCGCCGTCTAGTTGGTCCACTTGGATACCGAGGCACTTTGCAGCAATACCTAAATCCTTTACTCCGAATGACTTATGAAGCTGACTCATGATCCAATCGCAATGTGCGGGTTCTTGGCTCACCATCAGTAGGTCGTCGACGTAAAGACCAAGTACGAGAAGCTTGTTTTCCTTTCTGCAGAAGTACAGGCAGGGGTCTAGCTTACTTTGCTGTAAGCCATGAGAGACGAGGAATTTGTGCATCAATTCGTTCCAAAGACGACCGCTCTGTTTAAGCCCATAGAGACT